AATTTGTAAAAAAGCTTTTCAAACTATATACTCATTGTCAGATAAAAAGTGGAAAAGCATTCGTAATTATTATCAAATTAATGGTATTAAACCAATTGTACATGCACTTTTAGGAAGAAGATCTCACAATGCTTTGTCATTCGCAACCATTTTAAATGTTCTTACATTTATCGTCAATTATGCAAATTGTCATGGGTTACCATCACCGGGTAAATTTATATATTAGGGTGTTCAAAATGAATTCGTCTTATTTCACTAACAATTAGCTCATCAACAGTTCATTTAGCCAACATTACGCTAAGTGACAATTTGCTAAAAACATATACCTGCAGTTAGTGTTGTTAGTCGATCGACTAATGGTCGACTAACTGAGTAATTGGTTAAGTCATCAGTTTAGTTGACTAAGTTATTAAGAGCTAATTTAGGGTGTTGTTACTTTATGGTTAGAGTAATGACATTACTTACATTACTGGTAATAAACTCGCATTGTTTTTTATAAACAATAACTAACCTGTAACTATACTTGCTACCAGGGCTTAAACGACTATATTAATTTGCCAGCCATTTACTGCATTACAGTTATTGTTTAAAGTATCTTTTTTGATTCATCAAAATTAGTACGTACTTTGTTATTCATAACGCTAATCATGTATTAAATTGTTATTTTAGCCAATTAAATTCTAAATATATTATAGATCAAGAATGGAACTTATACATGGCCAGCAAATTACTATGGTCGTTTAAGCCCTGCTTGCCACCTAAGTCGACTAAGTCAACTAGCTTCTAATCAGCTCATAACACTACTTGCAGCTAATCAAATGCTATGATGTCAGCTAAATGAACTTTTGGTAAAATGATTGTCAGTAAAGTGAGCAGTACCTATTCAAGGATTTTTAATATAAGCAAAAATTATTTATGTTTTGAAATTCCTTTTTTTTCTTTGTGAACGAAAATTGCATATATTTTAATTAATAAATATTAGATTGCCACTTTCGCGAAGATACTATGGCTATTACATATCTTTCTGCAAGTGAAAGTTATATTAGATTATATCGTATTTATCAATCAAGTTTAGATGAAATCTTTGATTTTAATATTAGTCGATGGTCTTTTCTACGAATTTGGAAAAAATATGTACCAGAAATTCAATTTTTGTCCCCTCGCAATGACCTCTGTATGCTTTGCAAAAATATGCAATTTAATGCTCAATTCTGGATAGAAAGTGAACGAGACCAAAATGTTCAACAATGGAATGATCATATCAATTGGGCACATCAAAAGCGAGATTATTACAAGTAAGAAACCTATGATTAGAAATTGAATCTGAGTAGAAATCGTTATATGACCAGGCCACATAGCAAATATTTAAAGCAAAGTTATCAATAATCTGTAAATGTGATAGGAATTAGGCTTTATATATATTAAGCCAGATTTGCAGAAACTTATACAAGACCTTTTGGTATTTTGGCAAGACCTTTTGTTATTTCAATAGACTCAGAAATTTTTGGCAATCCATACTTAATATATAGCCAAAACTTTAAAAGTTGCCAAAATACCAAATGGTCTTGCTGAAATATCAAAAAGTATGAAGCCTGATTTCTATCACATTTACAAATTATTAATGACTTTGCTTTAAACATTTGCTATGTGGCCACAATGGCCAAAATATTTTAGCCACAGGTATGAACCTAAGTAATCTAATAATACTTGGGTAAAGAGTTTCTTAATGAGTCAAATCTCTACTAAT